TGACGATCACAAGACAGATCGCTTGCCCCCGACAGTATGCACTTAAGTACAAAACACGCACGGGGATTCTGCAGGCTGTCACTGAGTTCCCTTCAAGAGACAAAGTACTGGGGGCCTCCCTGGTGGCGCAGCAGTTGAGTGCTGGGTTGCGAAGCTGCCCGCAGCCTCTGCAGCGCCGGTTCGATCCCCGGCCACCGGAGGAGGGTCCCACATGGTGCGCAGACCTCTCCTGCCGCCCGCTGCTCCCCTCAGCAGTGTACTTCGGTCCTTCTGCCTGCTCTGGTGAATTCTCTCACCCTCCCGCGCTTCTGACTGTACCCGGTGCTTGTATAAATAAATAAAAAACAAACAAATAAATAAATAAATCTTTAAAAAAAAAGAGAGAGACAAAGTACTGAAAGCAGAGCCGTCAGCAGGGACCCACTGCAGCACCCCTGCCACAGCCAGGCCAGTGGCTGAAGACAGGCACTGCAGCAGGGGCAGTCCAGACCAACGGACTCTTTCAACAGACCGCCTCTGCTTTGACAAGACTTTCTCCCAGTGGCACTGCAATCTCAGCCGCCCAGGGCACCCATCATTCTCCCAGTACTGTTCATGCACGGGCGCCACACCTGCGGCACTCTGAAGGCTTCTGCAACTGAGCCAAGCACCTCCTCTTTACCCTTCCCAAGCATTCACCTTTGTGAATCTGTGCGCTTCTGAGAGTACCGCAACATCCGCGCTGCAGAGGACACAAACCATCACAGCACAGCACTGACCACATCGGGTGAGGGAAGGAGGGAGACCAGTCTTGGCTGCGCCTGCAGCAGGTATGTAATGGTGCTGACTGACAGTGGGGGACAAAACTATTATCTTGCTGTATTTGAAATGCTTAACTTTTTCTAATAACTTTGTCTTTACAATTCCATCCTGCCTTATTGTAATTTATAAACACATTCAAATTATGCACCATTCTGGACAATTTTTTAAAGTTTCTCTTTTATTTCTGGTTCTGAAATTATGAACACACATTACCATTCCCAATCACTGCGATCAAAACAAGCTCTGAAACAGAAGTCTGAAGTTGGGCAGCACATGGCCTCAAGGCCACCTCAAAGAATTTTTTTTTTGAAGATTTATTTATTTATACAAGAACCAGGGTACAGGCCAGATGCGTGGGAGGGTGAGAGGATTCACCAGAGCCAGAGTGGGGAGCAGAACAGGCAGACTGACGAAGCACACTGCTGAGGGGAGCAGCGGGCGGCAGGAGAGGTCTGCGTGCCATGTGGGACCCTTGTCAACCGGCCAGGATCGAACCAGTGCTGCAGAGGCTGCGGACAGCTTCACAGCGCTGCGCTCAACAGCCTGCGCCACCAGGGGAGGCACACCTCAAAGAATTTTTAATGGAAGATAACAAAAAAGAGCTTACTTTCTTCATCCAGAACACAAGAAGGTTAGACTAAATGGACATCACAATTTTTCTCTGATGACTAGGAGAGAAGGAAAACCCAGAAACTTCAAAGAATTATGTCCAGTGTGTCATTTTATTAAAATCCAGATCTTGGGCCTCCCTGGTGGCGCAAGGGGTTAAGCATCACACTATGAAGCAATCCGCAGCCTCTGCAGCACGAGTTCGATCCCCGGCCGGCCAGGGAGCTACCCACATGGCACAGCAGACCTCTCCTGATTTGCCCACTGCTCCCCTCAGCAGTGGATTTCAATCAGTCTGCCTGTTCTGTTCCCCACTGTCTCTGGTGAGTCCTCTCAACCCCATGCCTCTGGCCTGTACCCCAGCTCTTGTAGGCATAAATAAATAAATCTTTAAAGAAAAAAAAATCCAGATCTTTAAAGAATTTGACTATTTTGGAAAAATAGGAGTTTCTGTTATCATTTAATTAAGTGACCTTTTTTTAAATGCATACAAGAACTGAGATGTAGGCCAGAGGTGCGGGGGATGACAGGACTCATGAAAGACAGAGTGGGGAGCAGAACAGGTGGATCTACCGAAATCCACTACTGAAGGGAGCAGCGGGCAAAACACTTTGTGCCACCTTAAACCAATTTTTAAATATTCCACTTGTAGAAATCAACAACAGAAAAGCATAAAACTCAGGCATTAGATAATATGTATTGATAAAACTTCCAGAACACAAAATAAAAAAAAAAATTATTACAACTATACTCTATCATTCCTAACAAGGTCATAGTTTCCATAATTGCTATTTAAAGTCACAGGAATTAACAGTTACAGAAATAACAAATCACTGAATCAGCACTAAATCCCCAATTCCTACCTTATCCAGACTTTCACTGCTTTGCTAAAGATGCCTTCTCCCCAAAAATGATTTCCAGTTCTCTGCGTGGACTACAAATATTAACTGAATACATACTCTTTAGCAAAAAGTCACTGTTTTCTATTAGTGTCGAGAAGGACACTATTTCTTATGTCTACAGCCTGAGTGGAGCCTCTGGAGAAAGGCTGGGAGGAAGGTGAGGGCCAAGCTACAGATTAATCAGCAATCCCGGAGCAGAGAGGATATAGAAAAGTACCACCCCCCAGGGAGACACAGTGACTCCGAGGGAATGCGGTGTTTTATCTCGCAAAACTAAGACTTTTTTTTCGACTTTATACATAAACACCAAGGAAGATAGCTGAGAGTGAGCCTGTGATGTTCCTTTTGAAGCAGCGCTGCTCTGGGCAGCCTCAACCAGTGAGCCTTGGAGCCCAGCTCTGGACAGACCCCCTGGACAGTCTCAGCTCCGGGAGGCAGGCCTGGAGAGTCGGCACCAACACTCCCAACTCAGAACCTACTGAAGGTCTCAAGCCCCAGGAATGGAGTCAAGGTTTCTTTTGTACCATCCAGAAACCTGATCCGAACAAGGTTCTTCTCTCTGGACCTCAGTGTTCTTTGTCCACCATAAGGACTAGTTCTGGATCTTCCAGGAAAAGGTTTTTATCTGAAGTGTAGCAGATACATGTAACTTCTAGGCGTTCCTCTTTCACACAGCTCAGGTCACCAAGGCAAAAGCAGGCGATGCAGGGGTCACTGCTTGGCAACTCACATCACACTCGTGGTAATCAGAATTATGACACAGGAAATGTCTGCCCTCGCCGTGTGTGCCAGGCCCTGTGCTGGGCATCTACCAGGTGCAGCTCAGTCAGCTCCCTCTCTTGAGGAAGCTCATTCTCTCCATTCTACACACAGGCAAGAACGGAGGAACGTGCTCGGGGTCGCACACAGCGGGCAAGAGACCGGCCAGGACCGGAACTCGGGTTCCTCCGCCAACACAGGCCAAGCCCAGCCTATTCTACACTGCTTCTGGGGAAAAAACCACGAAATTAAAAGCACGACTGTGACTGACACGCTCACAGACGACCCCTGCCCTCGCCAAGAGCCCCAGGGTGATGAGGAGACCCAGGCTGCTGGGCCAGGAGGCGCCCCAGCGCTCCCTCGCGCCACCCGCGGGCACAGGGACCACCAACGGGCTCTCTTGAGCCGTCTCAGAAAATGTTCACATCACCGTGACTTCCCAGGATCCCTGCGGATTTCACTTCCACAATGAAACCAAAACACGGAAAACAGTGTGCTCCAAGAGGAACGAGGAGCCGCCAGGGACAGCGAGGAGGGGCAGGTCGGACGCCCTCACCCCAGACGCGAGGAAGCGGCCCTGCGGGGAGAAGCCTAAACCCTCCCGTCCAAGAAGAGCGCCGCGCCCGGACGCTCAAGCCCCCTGAGGCGACAGCTGAGCCAGGACACCCACGAATGCACAAGCCCTGAGACGAGGTTCAGGCCCCACGGCTGCTGCTCTGGGAGACCCGGGCTCACAGCCGCCCGACAGCCGCTCTCCCGCGAGGCGCCCGACCCGCAGCGCCCGCCCCGCGCCTGAGGCCCAGCCGTGGCCTCCTCGCCGCGGGGGGCCCGGGACGCGCAGGGTCGGCCCCGCTCGGCCAGGCCCGGCCCCGGGGCGCGGGGGGAGCGTCCCCTGATCCGCGACGCCGGCTGGGAAGCCGCGGACGCCGAGAGACGGGCCTGGGCCAGGGCAGCGGCCCCGACCCCGTCCTCCCGTCCCGTCCCGTCCCGTCCCGTCGCGGCCGCGGAGCCGCTTCGGCCGGAAACAGACGGCGGGAAACGCCAGGTCGTGCCCCAGCCGGCGCCCCCTGCCCGGCCCCGGGCGCCCGAGCCCCGCTTCCACAGCGGCGGGGCGGGCGGGGCTCCCAGCGGCCGTCACCCCGCGCCTCGCCCCGCCCCCGGCTGGGGAAGAGCTGGGGCGCTCCGGGGCATCCGGCCGTTCCAGCTCCCGCGAAGACGAGGCGAACCCCGGCGCCTCAGCGGACGGCCCCGGCGCTCGCCCCACGCCGGCCGCCCCCGCGGGCACCGCACCCCGCGCCCCGGGACCGAGCCGGGTGGCCCCGCAGCCCGGGGGGGGGGGGATTACTCCGGCGCCCCGAGGCCTCCCGAGCCCCCGGGCGGGGCGCCGACCCCCGCGGGCACGCCCAGCTCCGCGCGGACAGCGGGCCTGGGGACGTCCTGGGGACGGGGCGCCCGCGGGGCGGCGGGAGAGGACCCCGGGGCGGGGCGGCCGGAGTGGGGGCCCCCCCGCGCCCCTCCCCCGCGCACGCCGGCGCTCGCTGCTCCCCCGCGGAGCCGGCCCGGCGCCCCCAGCCCGCGGCCCCCGCGGCCCCGAAACGCGCCCCCACCCCGCGGGCGCCTTTGTCTGGCGGCCGCAGCGCCCCGAGGTCGCGGGCGGTGGACGCGCCCGTCAGGCCGACGCGGGCCCTGCCGGCCACGCCCCGCGAGGACCGGACCCCGCGAGGACCGGACCCCGCGCTTCCGCGGGGCCGGCGGGGCCGGGGCCGGCGGGGAGGGGCCGCGGCCGCCCGCGCCCCACGCCCCGCGCCCCGGGCCAGGGCGCGCTCCGGCCGGACAGGCTCGCGGCGGGCCGGGCTCTCCGCGGGCGCAGCCCGGCCCCCCGCCCCGCCCCGCACCCCGCAAGTTGCGGCGGCCGCCCCGGCTACTCACCGGGGTCGAAGTCGGGCACGGCCGCCTGGTACTGGGGTCCGACGCGCATGCCGCCGCCGCCTGCGGGGAGAGGGGTCAGCGGGGGCGGGGGGCGCGGGAGGCTTGGGGGGCGCGAGGCGGGGGGCGCGGGAGGATGGGGGCGCGGGAGGCTTGGGGCGCGGGGGGCTTGGGGCGCTCGGGAGGCTTGGGGCGCGGGGGGCGCGGGGCGCGGGGCGGGGGGCCCCTACCGTGCTCCTCGTCGCTGGACGAGCCCGAGCTGCCCTCCTCCCAGGAGTTGCTGCTGCTGTTGCCATTGGCCGCGGCCGCCGCCGCCAAACTTTTATTCTGCCCGTTATTGGGGGCGGCGGCGGCCGAGGCGGCGGCGGAGGCGGCGGCGGCCGCGGCGGCCGAGGCGGCCGAGGCGGCGGCGGCGGAGGCGGCGGCCGCGCTGGCCGCGTTGTTCCTGCCGCGCCGCTTCCCGGAGACCTCGGGGCCCTTCTCCACCATGGCCGGCATCGGCGGCGCCCGGCGGGCGGGCGGCGGGCGGGCGCGGGCCCGCGGCGCCGGGGCGGGCGGGCGGCGGGCGGGCGGCGGGCGGGCGCGCGGAGCCGCTCCAGGCCCCAGCCCGACCCCGCGCAACTTGGGCTCCCACGGCCCGACTTCCCGGGCCCAACTCCTCGGCGCCCGAGCGGGGAGGGCGGGGCTGCGCGGGCGGGGGCGCAGCCTAACCCGGCGGCCGAGGCCCCGCCCCCGCGCGCGCCCATTGGCTCTGGCGGGGCCGGGCCGGCCAGCGGCCGCCGGGTTGGCTCGGCGCCCCGTCGATCCGCGGGGCCGGGGCGGGACGGCCGGCCGGGGGCGGGGCCGGGCTTCCGTTGGGCAGGTTCGGTTGACGCGCACCGCCCGCCGTACGTGTTTGAGGCGCGCCGTCGCTCGACGCCCCATGATCCCTCTCTCCGCGCGACGGCGGGGCGCGCGCCGCCCCCCGCCCCCGCCCCCTGGGCCGCACGGCCCCGCCGCCTTGGGCGCCCCCGCGCCGCGGCCCCCGCACCCTGGGGTCCCGCGCGCCCGCCCGCTCGGGAGCCCGGCGCGCCGCCTGAGGCCGGGCCGGGACTACTTGCCCGCGCGGAGGGCTACAGGCGCGGCCGCGGGCCGTACAAAGGGGGACACCCGCTGCGAGGAGCTAGTCGCACCCCCAGCCGCCCCGGGGCGCGGGGCGGGGCCGGCGCGGGGGGCCGGGCCCCGGGTGACCGTGTCCCGGGAGGGAGCAGGCGCCGAGCGTCGGGCGTGGAGGTTCCTGCTAATTGGGGGGCTCCCGCGCCCGAGTTGCGGGGCGCGGCGGAGGCGGGGCGCGGGGGGCCTGCCCTGGGCGGCGGCTCGGGGAAGGGGCGCGGGGCTCGGAAGCGGGCGGGCCGGGGGTGTGGGGGGTAAAGAGGAAGCGGCTGTGCCCAGCCCGCGCCCCGGGTGGGGAGGAAGCAACTTCCCCGAGGCCGGCGCCGCTCCCCGGCCCCGGCCCCGGGAGAGCCCGCCGGGCCGCCCGGTGCCCCCCCCCGTGCCCCGCCGTCGGGCACGCCTGGGAGGCCGGGGCGGGCGGCCGCGGCGGTGGGTGGGTGGGTGGTGGGTGCGGCGGCGCCCGGGCTCGGAAGTTGCTCTTCAAGCCTGAGCCTCGCGTGGGGCCCTTCGCCCCCGCGGGGGTGGGAACAGCTGCGGGGACAAAGCTGGAGTGTCTGGGCTTTGAAGCCTGAGCACGCGGGCCGCGCGTCCACGGCGGCGGCGGCGGCGGGCGCCGTGTCACCACCTCGGGGAGTGACCGCGGGCTGAGGCGGCCTTCGAGCAGCAGGGCCCGGGCCGCCCGCAGGGGCCCGGCCGAGGTCGGGGGCGCCCCTCCTGGCCTCCCTTCGAAAAGGCAGGCCCTCGCCTTGGGGAGCCCCGGGGTGCACCCCGCCTGCCGGCCCGGGTAGGGTGCAGACCTCCCAGCGCGGGGCTAGGAGCCGGGGGGCCGTGCGGGGCCGGCGCAGCTGGGGTGGAGCGAGCGCGGGCGGCGGCCCCAGCCTCCTGCCGGCCCTCGGTGTCCACGAGAGACGCGCCCGCAAGGGCAGAGGCGGCAGGCGATGGTGGGACACGCCGGGCGCATGGGGGTGGCCCCTGGTCCTTCCAACCATTCACGTTTTTCAACAAATATTTATTAACATCTAATACAGACACAGCTCTAGTCCGAGCCCAAGGCCACACGGATGCTGCATTGACCTTGAACCTCTCAGCTGCCTCACCTGAAAATCACATAACAATGGGCGCTCCCCAAGGCCAGGGCTTTTACCAGCTTCAAGTTAGGGCCCCTCGCTCCTTCCGACACAGGGAACCCTCCAGCCGGCTAGAAACCCGCCGACCTGCCCCTGCCAATCACCTCGGTGGGGAGGGGGTCGCCCACAGCCCTTCAGATTGGGACTTGGGGATCTCAAACCCCCTTGTGCTCTCCCACTCGGAGAGCGGACCCCCGCCTCCTCTCCTCCACCTCGACCCCCGCCCGCCTTCCCAGCCGATGGCCGCGCCTCGTTCTTTAGTGAGAAGACTCGCTACTATCGTGCCATCAGCCTCTCTGCTCCATTTGTCCAGAAAATGGAGCATTTACCAAAAACAAAAAAAAAAAAGTGGGGGGCGTCCCTGTCTTCTGCCTCCTCCCCTTCTGCACAAGCCCCCTTCTGCCTCCCCCCTTACCTCTACTCCCTCCACCGCTGCCCTCCCCATCCCACTCGGCGGTCCTCTTTCCCCACTCTTGCCAAGACACCCCAGCACCGCCTCCCTGCTGCCCCTCGCGGAGGTCCCTTCCCAGCCGCACAGGAGCACCCCTCCTTCCGGAAACCCCCTCCCCTCTGCACCCGGGATGCCCACCTTGACCTGGTTCTCCTCCTACCTCACAGACAAACCAACTCGGTTCCCCCTGCAGCCTCCACCCTCATCCCTCCACCCGCAATTTTCGGGGTTGCCCCGGCCCCTCCCCTTCCTGCACCAGGCACACAGCATCACCCGCTGAGCACCCCTGCAGGACAGCTGGGCAAGAGGCGCCAGCCGCAGCCCGTCCACGAAGGGGCGGGGCCGCGCGGTTCTCTCCACCCAGCCCCTGGCATGTGGCCCAGGTCTGGCCGATCAGAGGTCCCTGAGCCCTCTGCTGCGGTGATTGGCTCTGGTGTGGCCACATGACCTAAGCGGGCCAATCAGGATCTGCCCTGGAATTTTTTCTGTAACTCTCAGGTGGAGCCTGTTTTCCATAAATCAGGCTCTAAGGGGCCAGGAAAGCTGGGAACTTGACTCCTTCTAGGGCAGGGCTCCTGGTGGGGGTCAGAACCGGGGATGCTTAGTTCAGGTTCTGAGATGTGCAAAAAGGGCCCCCCCCTCGCCACGCTGCCCATCCTACCCCACCGGTGTGAGAAAAGGAGCCGTCTGTACCCCACGGATGTGGGAAAAGAAGGGTTGAGGCGGAGGCAGAGCCTGGTAGGATCCTCAGAACTGTCTCACACCCCCAAGCCACACCTGAGATCCTGGCCTTTTAAGTTGAGAAATTTCAGTTTCTGAGAACTTGAAAGACTCTTGAATGATACTAGTAATTAGGCATTAATCTGATTCAGAACTAGGGAAAGCATGTGCCAGCAGTATATGGGCATATGTGCCCGTGAAAGACTTAACAATCATCACTAATGTTTTAGGGCGTAACGATGCCTGCTTCTGCTCTCAGCACTGAAACTGTGAGCTCTTTTATTTGGCCCCATAGTCCCATCAGGCGAACACAGTTTTGACCTGTTCATCCTCACCTTGTTGAAACGGAAACTGAGGCACCTGTAAGCGAACTAATCTGCGTAAACCACGTGGTTGGCCAGTGGAGGAAGCAGCCTGTCTAAACCGCAAAGCCCTGCCACCCTAGCCCTGCCAGAGTCCTCCTCAGAGTGCTGGGAGGCAAGGGGCCAGGACGAGCATCAAATGTCTGGTTCCACACATAGTGTTTGTAATTCTTACCGCTAGATTTGTATTAGTGTTATTGTTACATGACTTGTAGAAAATTCTGCTAGGTAAGAATGGTTTCCCCAGTGGTGGAGCAAAGCAGAGGCCAGACTGTGGACTGGGGCTGGAAGCTGGTCCTGGGAGGGATGAAACCCCAAAAAGACTACAGAGAAACAGACACTTTGATTAGGATTTTTAGCAGTTCTTAGCCTGCTCTCTGGATAGAATTCAGGGAAACCATCAACCTAGGAGGGTAATTACATCTTTATTGAAATTAACGTTTAGCTGAAATCTAACATTTTCTTCAATTATGAATGTAGGCGGTGTTAGCAATGGCTGCGACTCTGTCACCCATAGACTCATGATACTGTCTCGACACATTACAGTTGAAGAAATCTCAGAATAGGGCCTCCCTGGTGGCGGAAGGGGTTAAGACGCAAACTATGAAGCTATCTGTAGCCAATGCAGCATGAGTTCGATCCCCGGCTGGCCAGGAAGCTACCCACATGGCACAGCAGACCTCTCCTGTCTCGCCCACTGCTCCCCTTAGCAGTGTACTTCAGTCGATGTGCCTGTTCTGTTCTCCACTCTGTCTCTGGTGAATCCTCTCACCCCCCACCTCACCTCTGGCCTGTACCCCAGTTCTTGTATACATAAATAAACAAATCTTTAAAAAAAATTTTCTGAATAGCAATGTACACTCACCTCCAAAATCAGAGAAAATATTAACCCCAACACAGATCTTGTAACCTAACATGTTAATAACTCAACAAATAGTGCATCCCTGGTGGCGCAAGGGTTAAATCTCACACCATTAAGCTATTGCTAGCCACTGTGGCCTGAGTTCGATGCCTGGCCAGGAAGCTGACCCACAGGGTGCAGCAGACCTCTCTTGTCACCCTGCTGTTCCCCTCAGCAGTGTATTTTAATAGATCTGCCTGTTCTGCTCCCCACTCTGTTTCTGGTGAATCCTCTCACCCGCCTTCACCTCTGGCCTGCACCCCAGTTCTTGTATGTGTAAATAAAAATAAATCTTTTTTTTGAAAAATTCGACAAATAACTGAAAATGGGTCATAAACCTAACCATAGAGCTATGAAACTCTTATGAGTTCAAAAAAACATGGAACTAACTCTTCATGACCTTAACTTAGGCAAAGACATCTCAGGTGCAATTACAAGAACATGAGAAACAAAAGAAAAAATAGATAAATTGGACTTCATCAAAATTAAAAACTTGTGCTGCAAATGATACCATCAAAAAAGTGAAAATATAACAGGGTGGTCCCCAGGGAAAGAGGGGGTTTCAGGTTCCTGCCCCACCCTAAGGAAGGGTAGAGCCGAGTAGGGAAAAGAAATGGGAGAAGCCTGGGAGAAGGAAGGGGTACAAGAAGACCGGAGGAAGCACAGAGAGACATGTGCAGAAGCTGCGCTTTCTTCTCACCCTTGGACTTGCACCAGGGACTTGGGGGATACGAAAGGAGACACTCAAAAGAGACAGAGACATCGGGAGAGAGCCGTGGGGAGGC